CGTGAAAAAATTCAAAATCCAACTTACACTGTTTCAGTTACGTGCATCGCGGATTGGTTGGCGGATTTTTGAATTTCGTATTTGGTACTTTGGTTTTCAATAAATCGAACGAGCGTCGATTGAAAAAAGAATAATTGTCAATTTCAAAGTGTTTCTAGAATCATATTTTTGAAGGCTGGGATCGGCATGGCCAGTGTCATGTTAAAATTCAAATTAATGACAAAGAACATGACAAAAGAAAAAATGAAATTTTCTATGAAGGTTTTTCTAATTAACTAATGAAATATCAAAAACCGCGCCGTAAAAATAAAAAGTCAAGTGTACAGATTTCATGCTAAAACGGTGGAGTCTTATTTCGTTGTAATACAGGCTATATAGCCACAAAAATGAACAGTTTTATTTGACTGTACGTGTAAAGTAGTGGCACGATTTCGTTACCAACAAAACAACTATACACACAGTTCACGACTTCCTTGCAGGATCACGCGGAGCGTGTTCACAACAAAAATCGTATAAGCGTGCTACGTTACTTAATATTATGTGTTTGAACATATTTACGCATAAAATTAACTGTACAATTCCTAAAGTATGGAATATGGTCATGAAATCTCCTTCAAATTTTTNTTTCGTGTAAATTTGAAATTTCTACAATGTATACTTACGAAACTGTGATCTTTTAATTTTGCGTCCTACCGGAAGTACTTTAAGTCCTGCTGGCAGGACTCCGGGCGATCTATCAATAATCCTTTTCGCTTAAGAATTGATTGATTTTTAATACCTTCGTTTTAATTTTTCCTTTAAAAAAGATTTTTTATGGCCTATTTTTTTTTGTACAAAATTATTCAAAACTTTTCTTACTTATAAGTTCCGACACGTTAAAGTATGTAATATTCATGAAAAATACTCAAAGAGTAGTTGCAAAGTTCCAAAGTTTCTTAACTTAAGAAAGTCTCAACCCTAATGCAATGCCCATTTTCAGAGTCAGCTGCTCGAGACCGCTCCAATATCATGCCAAGACCGTCACAGCTGGTCTTTTGTGACCCGTTTTTGTGCACCCAAACACACCCCGAATACAAAAAAATACAATTGCGTTCGTGAAAAAATTCAAAATCCAACTTACACGGTTTCAGTTACGTGCATCGCGAATTGGTTGGCGGATTTTTGAATTTCATATTTGGTGCTTTGGTTTTCAATAAATAGAACGTGCGTCGATTGAAAAAAGAATAATTGACAAATTCAAAATAAGATTCTAGAATCATATTTTTTTAAAGGCTGGGGTCGGCATGGCCAGTGTCATGATAAAATTCAAATTAATGACACAGAACATGACAAAAGAAAAAATGAAATGTTCTATGAAGGTTTTTACAAATGAAAGATCAAAAACCGCGCAGTAAAAATAAAAAGTCAAGTGTACGGACGGGAGCACATCAAACCAAAAACGATGGAGTCTTATTTCGTTGTAATACAGGCTATATAGCCACAAAAATGAACAGTTTTATTTGACTGTACGTGTAAAGTAGCGGCACGATTTCGTTACCAACAAAACAATGAACTATACACACAGTTCACGACTTCCTTGCAGGATCACGCGGAGCGTGTTCACAACAAAAAACGTATAAGTGTGCTACGTTACTTAATATTATGTGTTTGAACATATTTACGCATAAAATTAACTGTACAATTCCTAATTCCTAAAGTATTGAATACGGTCATGAAATCCCATTCTATAATTTTTAACCGACTTAAAAAAAGGTGGTTTCGACAATTCATATTATTCAATTCGACTGTATGATTTTTTTATTCTCCCGGTTAGTACAAGTATAATTTTTAAAGTAATTTCTTTAATTCTTACAAGCTGGCCGTCTAGCTCGGACAATAACTCGCAGCTCCGTCCCAAAGACTTCGGGAGAACACCGTCAGGTTTTAGTGAGTAGGCCCTGCCCATCTGGCAGGGAGAGCCTCACATAACCCACTGGTTCCCCCGGGCCAGTGGGTATGCAATTTCATGCATTTCCTGACGAAAAAAAAGGCACCAAAAGTTTTTAAAAAAACGTCTAATATGATATCGTATGATGCTGACTGACGACTGAGAGACGCTATGACAAAAAACTATACTTTGTTATAACATAATAAAATTCCTTTCTTGACACCATGTGCGCAAACAACGTATTTCAACATTGTCAGTTCTCGCAAGACGATTTTTCACAGAACAGCAATGACTCATTTAAAAGCAAACAAAGACAAAGCCCCAAAAACAATTACAACAAAAGATTGCCTAACACAATCGCCCATCTGGCAACCCCAGCCAAAACCAACATCTGGTATCACTTCCGCTGGTAAATCATTTACTTCCCATTTGAAACTAACATCTGTACGCGAGGCATTATGTTTGCAATGTCTTTGCCGAATACTAAAAAAAACTGAGATTGACGTTGACAGATATATTTTTTATCTATGACTTATAAAGAACCACAGATCAGCTACAAAATTATTAATCATTTACTGTCAGTTGCGGATTTGTAATTACATAGTTTTAAATTTCAATATAAACAGCACATTTAGTTGTGATTTAAAAACATATTTTAGATAATTTCTTAGTAAAGCATCTCTCAGTAAACATGACATTTGGAAATGTAAAATTTATCATTAGGAACATTTAAAATGTTTAGAAACTTGTAATTGCATGTACCTACATCTAGTTTTGATATCTCTCCGATATTTTTTGTATTATTAAACATGAATAAAAGTAATATTTTTTTAGAAACAGTTTTTACAGCAATTTAAAAGTATTTCATTTGATTGCAAATGTGTCTTGAAAACTACTTTTTCTTTTTTTTCTTCAGCAGTACCTTTTATGTTTAACATAGTTACAATATAATTTAAATTATGTGTAGTAAAATAACGCACAATTATTAAAGGGGTGAAATAAGGGATGAAATTTTATGTAGGCAAAGCCAGAGGCAGAAACAAGTATGTGTTATTTAATACTAAACACACGATTAACATTATCTTGACAGTGAGACAAATCGGCGGATTATTATTTATAACATTATCATTTTCGCTTATCTTTTCNATCTTTTATAATAAGTTACAATAAAGAAGGAAGGTTATACTTTTCGCTATGATAATAAATGTATAATATTCAATGTCATTGATTGTGATAAAGTATTTAAATAAGCATAACCTAATTATCTATTATACAGTTAAATTGAGTACCTCCTTTTTAAAGTCGGTTAAAAAGAGCAAAATAGTAGCTTTAAGTAATAAAAACAAAAAGCGATACCTTATGCGGGTCTTTACAAGGAGAGCAATGACTAATAACAACAAACGATCTTTCCTGTTTAATGTTATGAAATATCTTTACTTTGTTAATTAAATATGATGAAATAGAGACTGTAACGTATTCCAATGCTTTCCAATTTTTCATGAAAATATTGATAACATGCACATGATGCACATCACTAGTACCATAGATAATTCAATTTTAAAACAATTGAACCTGCAAGATGTCCACCTACTTTGCATTAAAATCTTGGCCATGAAAAAAAGTAAAAAATTCCGGAACGCAATCAAAAATTTAAATTAAACGCAAATCAGTCCGCGCCGCAAAAGCGCTGAACGCCGAAAATCGCTAAAACTCAAGTGTTAAAGGCATTTTAATTATTCAGGATAACAATTTGACGCAAGGTGCGGAGCAGCTGGCCTGTTGATACTTGATTAACATTAAATTAACAGGCAGATGGCACGAGCTGTCTCTCGGTATTAATTAGGAAGGACAATGAATAAAAAAGACAGGTTTAAATGCACCGTTTTGTGGCAATTTTTTGGTTGGAACCGCTTTGTTTAGAATGTTTCCTGTTATAAATTAGATCTAANTAGATCAGACTTAAATAGTTTTTAAAGGTTGTTAAGTAAATTGAATATTATGATGTCATGCATTAATTGCTTCAAAAGTTCAAATGTCACATCAAAGCAACAATATGGACGACAGATTTGTTTTATTTATTTAGGACAAAAAGAGACACAAATACATCATAGGAATAGATGCTAGTGTTTAGCTAACACTAGCGTATGCCCTGTCGTTTATACATGACCGAGTGCTCGTACATATAAATGTGAATGAATTTGAATTAATACTTTTTTCCCCAGCGGGATTGGAAACCGTGCAGCTGGCGTTTTCAACGCGTACCACCATGCAGGCGGGTGTTAAATAAAATTAATCATTGAAGGTAGATCTAGTTTGCACTGAATTTATCGCCATTTCTAATTTAAAATGCCAATGAATCTTCAAACAAGTGAGGTTGTTGATTCAAGACTCAAGTTATGTCCAAATGCATTTTCTTGACCTCAAAAGATAATAAAACAAAAATAAATATAAATAATAGCGTATTCTTAGTAAAAGTATTTGTTTAAGCATAACAAAGCAACAAAAAAATTAAAAATCCGGATTACGCATTCAGAGTTTTATCAATAAAAAAATAAATTTAATGATGAGGATAAACTATAATACAACTTCATGAACACTAATGTAGATTTTATCAAACAAAAGCTTCAAAACATTAGATCCGTTTGGTAGCATGCGTTTATTATGCAATACCACACTGGCATATTGTTTTATTGATCAATATCAGTACCTAGATATTTAATTTTGTAACGATGTTGATTTTGTAGCAGTACTTACCGACAATTTTGGGCTTAGCAGAAGCCATTGTAAACAAAAAAAATCACTCGACACAAAATCCAAGGTAACATTAATTTCAAATTATCTTTTCACAGAACCAGTACAAGGTTGGTGCTTTTATTGATTTCTTTTGCCTTCTATTATGAAAATTGTTCAAAGATAACACATGTATGTTATTTTCAAGCATTAAGAATCAATTAGTCAAGTCTTTTTAATCTAAACTCAAAGATTAGAAGGCCAGTGTTCACTTTCACATGCAATCCAAAAAGTCGTTACAAAAACCGTTAAATTAATACCCGAATCTTAAAACTACCCTTACCTAGTCCGATTTTTTTCTTTATTTTCTTTAGCACCTTCATCTTCGACCCCTTCTTGTCTTTCACGGGTGTAGTCTCCGGCTCTAAAGCCATGGGGGGCAGGACCAGGGTCTGAGGGGGCATCTGAGTGTGGCCCGAAGCCCTAGGGCACGCGGGGCAGTGGCAAGGCCCCCTAGCCTGCCTCACACTAACGCAACTGCTTACTCCCATCATTTGAGATGCTTTTTCTAATACACGAGAACTTAGAGTACCGTAAATTTTATATCATATCGTCACACGCAATTGAGTTTATACACGAAACACGAACGCGAATTTGACGCGACGCAGAGACGTCCGCTCGCTACGCTGCCTGGCGGCGGAGTGAACATCCCACGGAGTGGCGTAAGCACGGAGGATCACGCAAAGCTGCGCACGCATCGCGGCCTTTTACTTGTCCGTCTCTTTCTAATTTTACATCAATAACAGAGACGGGCGTATTGTTATTGCGCGACAGTGGGGGAATGTCAACAAGGGTAGCATTTTTATTTTCAGATCGGCAGATGGGCCAAGGGATGTTGTCGGCTAATTTTATCGTCTCTCATTTGGATGGCTAATTGCTTTTGGGGTAATTGTGGTCTGAAGATAGTGGCTGTTTCTTGTGCAGCTTCTTCTCAGCATCCCATGATATTGTCTCGAAGCAATGGTAAGGTTTACGTTACACTATTTACAGCATTTAAACAATGTTAATAACATTATTGTGCTTTTTGGCAGTTGGAGGTAAGATAGCCAGTTCCTCTGTGGTTAGGGATTCCAGGTGAAGCTTGCTTCAACCTTCGGCCTGATCATCACTTTTCATCAGGTGAGAAAGATCACCTTAAAAAAAGCCTTTCTAAAGCACACTTACAGAAATTTTTGTTTCAGTAATTGTATTGTTATTTTTAGGGCCGTAAAAAGTTTAGGATAAACATAACCGAGAAAGGTATTGGGGTCAATCAAATTTGAAATTAGGTCGCCCATATCTTTAACAATAAAATGCAGTCGCCTGTAAAATAAGGTTTTCGAGCTGGTTACAGTGGTTCTCGATTCCAATCCCGCTGGGGGCAAATTTCAGTGTGATGGATGAAAAAGAAAAGTGTACAGTTGCAGTTAGCTGACAGCTTACTTTTATTAAAATGCGAAAGCTTTTGAGGATGGATAGATGATTGTTATTTGCTTCACGAAAAAACTTCTGGGCGGATTTTAAAGGAATTGAACAATGCTAAAATAGTAGGCTTAAACATTTTAAGGCAAGTTAAATATAATTTTTCATATTTTTTCTGTAACTTTTCCATGAAATAAAAAAATAATACCACATTTTTCATAATTTGATCTGTTTCATAAAATAAAAAAATGTAGGGGTAATACCACATATATTATTATTATTTGGGTTTACTTTTTATACTTTTCATGAGGTCAACATAGTATGGAAACCTTTACAGCAGCAAATCTTTGAAATCCCAATGGTTTTCCCAAAAAAACAAATGTTATCGTTGTACCAACTTCCAAATATTATTGTGGAATACCCCGCAAATTCCCTATCTCTTTGACCCCATTGTGAATAGCAAATTAAGTTTATGCAATCGTTCCAATCTGTATGTGTGTATTCTTGACAAAGCTCACAGAAGTACTGAAAAGAAAGGTTTTTTTTTCGTTTTAAATTTCACATCGATTAAAAATGGGGCGTAACGTAAAAGTTACAACACCAATAAAAATAGGTAACTTTTGGCCATGTATTTTTGCAATCTTGAGCTTTCCGAAGCTTTTTGAGAACTGTCAATATAATTTGGGACAATAAGCCAGCGCTCAGCTTTTCATTTCCTCCTATTATTGTTAATTAAAATAAAAAACTCATTTTTGTACTTACGCCCTTCTGGTATGATGCCTTTGATGTTTAAATAAAATTTTCTTTTTAAACTTAGAAAAAAGCTTTTAAATAAAAGTTGAGTTTACCGAAGCGGTCTCTTCCAGAAAAACCAGACAGAGTAAAATTTTACATTTTGATTCAATGAGGGCTATCGTTTTAGCGCTCACTAGTTAGCGCCACTGTAGAGTAAGGTCCTGTCACTTGCTAATAGCGAAGACAGTGGCGCCAACTTGTGAGCGCTAAAGTGGTAGGAGGACTATCGCATTTGCACTCATCAAAATGGCGCCACTGTAGAGTAAGGTCCTGTCAATCGCCAGGGGTGCCAACTGTTAAGTATAAAAACGATAGCCCTCATTATTCGAGTTTTCAGTAGGCTTAGCGCGCATAAATAAGTATTTAAGTATGTTTATATCCGTTGTCTAGTACCCATAGTACAAGCTTTGCTTAGTTTGGGACCAGAGGCGCAGTGTGAAATGTCCAAGCATTTTATTTATTTATTTTTCACGGCGCGCATCCTAGACTGCTCTAGAATTTTGTGTTTTTCTAGGGCAGTTTTAATAATTTGATGGTGTCAAGTAGCAATATTTATAACTTTGTACATTTTAAAGCCTGTAAACCTTTGAAAAAGAGGCTGACAATAGTGACTGAGTTTCTTGCGCTGCTTCTTCTCAGCACTGGCCCATTTGTTGTCCTGAAGCAGTGGTAGGGTTAATACTGGGACGTGTAAAAGTGCTTTTTAAAGCCTATTTACAGTACCTCTAGCATGAACAACTTTCGTCTTCGAATCGTTTGCGTATTCGACAAAATTCGATACTCAATCTTCGAATTAAACGATAACGTGACAATTTTGATTCTCAAAATAAGTTTCGTGCAACAAGTTCTCATACTTAGTTCACTTTACGACACGTTCACAAGGGCGCTTGTAGTTTTCGTACTAAATTTTTTGATGGCGATTCGAATACGCAAACGATTTGAACTCGAAAGTTTTTCGTGCTAGCCGTACAGAAATAAATGAGTTTTTTTAGAGCTAGAAAGCTAAGCGCAATGCCCATCTCTGGCGCGCAGATGCGCTTGCGCACCTTGCGTGGAGCCTGCGCGCGTGCTTGCAATTTTTTGTCTCGCTCTTAATTTTCGTGACATCTGTCAGGATTAAGGAATTCGAGTTCATAGACCTTTGGGGCTTAACGCTTTGTTCTGGAGCAGAAATGGTGTGTTCATCATCAGGTCATTCAGTCTCCACAGCACGAGTACGACCCTCTCTAATGGCAATGCCAGATTTAGTATGGAAGGTGGCGTCTTTTTTTTTTCGCGCGGCCATCGACGAAACTTTGTTTTTTGATTACAAAATAGTGTAATAAACCAAACTTATTATGACATGTATACCTCAACTCAGTCTGAACTGAGTTACGAGCTTTAGAAGTTTGATGATTTTACTTATTAGATTAGATTTTTGCGCGAAAGTTTTGTAAGAAATTGCAACAAAATATTGCACTATTTTTTTATTGCGCTGATTCTGCTCCACACTGATGTCTGGAGCCTATAATGGATGGTATTGTTTGTTTACACATACAATGACACTATTTTGTTGCAATTTCTTACAAAACTTGCGCGCAAAAAGCAAATCTAGTATGTAAAATCATCAAACTTCTCATGCTCGTAACTCAGTTCAGACTGAGTTTAGAGGTATACATGATACATGTCATAGTAAGTTTGGTTTATTACACTATTTTGTCATCAAAAAACAAGGTTTGGTCGATGGCCGCGCGAAAAAAAGAGACGCCAATTTCCGGCATTTTTTTTTACTAGAGGCAAATGGAGGATTTGGCTTACACTCCCCACGCTGGCCAGACGGGTCGGAGAGGCATTGTCAACTCAAAATTATCATCATTTCAGCCACAGCCAGGACGTCCACTGCTGAATCCTCCAAATCATTTTTTTTTCTTTCTTTCCAATGATTTCCAGGTTGGCCAGTTTGAAGTGGCCCGAGTCTCATCTTGTCAAGGACAGGTTTTTTTTTTTTTTAAAGATTATTAGTAATTTGTTATTGCACAAATTACTAATACTCCCGTTAGCCCCTCGTACTAAGCTAAATATGCTTGTATCACGAGTGAGCTCACCACAATAGTCGAGCGGCGGCGGGGACCGAACCCGCGTGCCCCGGATTACGAGTCGGCCAGTCCGACCCCTTCACCGTTCGGCTATCGTGGCCTTAAAGAACAAAATAAAGCAATACAGCTTTTTATTTTGCTTTCTTCGTAACAAATTATGAAGGGAATCACATAATATTGATCTATTGATTTTGAGCTGCCAAAATGCGCTTTTGATTTTCAAGGCAAATGAAATTGATTTTTACAGCATATAAAAATACATACATTTGAACATCGAACTCGGTTAAAAAGTGACTGAGAGCTCAGAAGTAAAAAAAAGCTTTATATTAAGCATAACCTTTGACAATAATAGAAATATGCGAAGCAAATCTTGAATTTCAGTTTTTTTTTTATCCACAACGAGGAAGCTCTTGGCCTGTATCTCACCTGATGGTAAGTGACGATCAGGCCGAAGGTGGAAGCGAGCTTCACCCGGAATCCTCAACTACGGAGGAACTGGCTATCTTACCTCTTAAGTGACGGAACATTAATAGTATAAATATTAGTCATACTAATAAAGTACCTACCACATGTCTGTCTCTCTAGTTAACCTTCTGACATTTTAATTGGCCATTACGAGTAAAGATTACATCAATTAATATGTAATTGCTTTCTTCGTTACTTGACAAATGCAACTTAAATTAGTAAGATGATAGATAATGAAAGAAAGAAGAATTATCAATTCGTAAGTAAAAACAAAATAATTCACATTTTCAGTGTATTTTTTTATTTCAGTTTTCTATGTACGAGGAAAGTCGTGGGTAAAAGCTAGGTACTGTTTTCATAAACACTAGCGCCACAGCTATTAAAACTCTTTCATTTTGACACAAAAAAGTTTGTAATACGCATTTGAACGTGTTTTTTTCTAAACCACTTACTACAGTACGCGCCAAAAAAAAAATGGCTACTTGCAACAACTGCGTACATCAGCTGTACAGTTAATTCATATTTCTATTAAATTAAAACCTAAATACACGCAAAGGTGCATCTAAATTCGCACCTTGGCTGTTGCTTATCACAATGACATAAAGTCCATATTGGCCACTCATCAAACAAAGAAAATGACAGAACTAGTGCGTGCAACTTCTAAAATGTGTAAACCTTGCTGCCTTTGAGATAAAGTTCACTTTGTTATTTCGATAAACTTTGAAATTGGAACATGTGTTTGAAAGGTGAGCAGTTTTTTTCTTAATTGAAGAATGGAAAGTTCAATAGAAAGGGCAAAGGCATACAGCGTGTGGAACTTACGCCATCTGAGCATGTCCGATTATTTTTACATAGTGTTGCTAGGCAAAAATAGAAATGTACTTTTTTAGTCTAGCAACATTTTGCAGTAGGTTTTTACTTGATTTCTTGAAAG